TCATTACTATTGTGTCTCTTGAAATCAGATGATTGATTGTTGTATCTCCTTCCATGATCAGAATAAAAAAAGGTTGGGGAACTTACATAACAAGCAGCTGACGAAATCTCATTGACCCATAATCCGAAATCTTTCACATTGGCTTTACCTTTTTGCTTCACAAGTACTTGCCCCCAAGTCAATTTCAATCCATTAGGAAGTTTCGCCACCAGCTGCTCCAGAAGTGATTGATTTTCAACGTGATTTCCAGCTTCAAGGGTCTCCAAAGTGGCCACCAAGTTGTTGACATTACAGAGTTTGGATGACAAAAGCAACATTACATGGGTGCAACAACAGACTTCTCACTGCTTCCAAGGCTTCTCCTCTCAAACATCTCTGCAATTTCAACATAATTTCATCATCGGAGTGGAGACACGTAGCAACTTTTCTTTCAAATTGGCTTTTGAACATCGGCCAATCCTTGGGCTTGCCATCAAAGAATGAGAAATCCTTGTCAAATACTTGCCTACTCAGTACTTCATGAGGAATTGATTTGACCTGAGGACTTGAGACAGATTTTATCGCATCTGCAATAACGTTACATAATTTATCCATATCACTCTGTCTATCGAAATTTTCTTGTGATATATTGGAGGGATACTCACATTTTTCAATCCATTTTTCTACTAGCACCTTTTCCTCTTCAGTATTCGTACTTACAATATCAATTTCTCCTCTAGCCACGCTACAATGAGAAAAATCGGCATCATCCAGTTCAGATTCTGCCAAATCCCTTTTCAACTGCAGAATTCTCATCTCATTGTCTAACTGCTGTTGCTTCATCATCAGTTCAGCCTTAGCCTTTTCTGTCGCAAGTGCCAAACGCTTCTTTTCAAACTCCAATCTCTTCGTAGATGACACCTTTTGGACGTACTTGATAAATTGTTGGAATATTTGGTTTTATCTGATTCTATTGATGATTTGCCTACTGTGATCTCGGAACGTACCCCATCTGCATTTCCAGACCTCATTCTAACACCTTCCTGAAGAGACCTTCTCGCTGACAGCTCAGGAACATCATCCACCAATTATTCCTCCGGTACCGTAACTTCTTTCTGTTGTGACTCCCATAGAAAATTGTCGTCACGTTTACTGTGCATACCGGCATCGGATCTTCAGGATATCCTTACGTCTTCACGATTTTCGGACATCTTTCATTTCAGTTCCACGAATATAATAGACTTTACAAAATCCACTCTTGACTCTATTTGCGCTAAAAGGACCATGTGAATTCTTTTTATAAAAGAATTCACATGACTGAAATAAATGCCACTTCAATACTACTTTCTGAGACAATCCTAAGGTATGCTACTGCTGCGAATGCTTCCTCGCTAGCATCGCCAAATATGTGAAGTTCCATTGACTTGGCACTCGGTAGTGAACGTCAGTAACAACGTGGTATAGTGAGAGAGGAAATGTTTTTGAGAATTTTCAACCACTTCCACCAATCATAGTGAATGCTATCAGGAATTGCATCATCTCACGTTATTCCACACCTCCAGATTTGTTGCAAAATGATTCGACCCTTAATAATGAGACACGTTAAGAAACCTACCGGATCAAAAATTGACATTACTAATTTAAAAACTTCTCTCTTTGTCGGTATTTCCATACCAGCTATGATCTTCTCAGGCACCTTGTGAAATACAAGTTTGAAGGTGAAATTGTCAAATTTTGTGTCCCACCAAATACCTTACACTCTGTCTAATGCACTCTTATTCAAATCTTTCTGTAACATTTTATCACCGTGTTTCTGACTGACCATATGAGAATTCGACACCCAGTTCACTATATTGAATCCTCCCTCTTTATGAAGCTCGCTGATTTCTTGGATCTTATCACAGACATTCTCTTCATTCACACAAGAATCGAGATAATCGTCCATGTAGAAGTTTCTCTCGACATCTCTAGCTAAATGAGAAAACCTAGAAGTGAAGCCATTTACGCACACTGGACTCGATTATTTTGGGCCAATGTTTCTAACTGTTGGGAGGCATATGGAAAAACGGTGGGGAGTTTTGTTCACCTGCCTGACAATGAGAGCCATACACTTAGAGATCGCCTATACCCTCACAGCTAACAGTACAATAATGGCTTTGAGAAGAATGATATCCCGTCGTGGACCCATCAAACATTTATAGTCAGATAACGGATCAAATTTCCATGGTGCAAACGAAGAACTACTGAACTTCAATAGAGAGAACAACGGAGCAGAATTAATGCCTGAATTGACTAAAATGGACATAGAATGGCATTTCATTCCCCCTGGGACTCCTCAATTGGGTGGTTGCTGGGAGCGGTTAATCGGTTGTGTGAAAAAGATACTTCAGGTTACGTTAAAGGAAGAAGCGCCGAATGATGAAGTTCTACACACATTGTTCCTGGAAGCTGAATCTATTGTGAACAGTCGACCGCTTACACACGTTTCAATCGATCCAGATGATCCTGATTGTCTAACTCCTAATCATCTTCTCATCAGTTCAGGTACCAATAACCAAACGCCTTTCATTAACACCTTTGAAGATCAAGATTCACGAGCACAATGGAAGAAGAGTCAACGATTAGCGGAGATATTTTGGTCGAGATGGGTCAAAGAATACCTGCCAACGCTTTCCAAGAGAGGAAAATGGATAAGTGATGGAAAACCTATAGAAATCGGAGACATCGTCGTTATTCGAGATGGAAATCTGCCTCGAAAATCATGGCCACTCGGAAAAATTGAGAAGATTTATCCTGGAAGAGACAACATTATTCGAGTCGTCGATGTCAAAACCAAAAATGAAATATTTCGTCGTCCAGTCAACAAACTATGTCGATTTGATATCATTGGTGAAAATTGAAGGAATTTCACGGTGGGGAGAATTTTGGAGAAGAATGTATTTCAGTTTGAAGATGTTTTATCGTTTATTCGCTTTGAATATTTCATTTGCATAGTTTTGAAAAAACAGAAGTTGTTGATTTTGATGAAAAATCGATATTGCCAGATTTGAAAGCTGAAATTGAAAAATCACGAAAAATACGAGAATATTATTCTATAAAAAGAATTCACACCACTCATAATTTGACTCTATTTCGAAGACCTGTATTTTTTGAAAATATTGACCGATCTTCATGCGGTTTTCGATATCAGATGTGATGTTTCATCGGCTTCAAAGAGAGCTTGATCACTCTGGAAACGTTCGCAGAACAAAACCTACACAGGGTGTAAAGTGGAACCATTACACTATGGTCAACATTTCCAATGCTGCCAGAACTCGAAAAATTTTTATCTGATCAAAATTCATAGTCAGTCAAGTCATATTATAATACACTTGAACCTCATCTCGAGACATTTTCGTGATTTGCCCTCAATTGGCCATTGGAAAAAAATTCAATTTTTTTTTTCGAAAGTCTTGCATTCCTTGAATTTTTTCTCTAGAGCCCCACTTGAGCTGACTTTTGGAAAGAACTATTGTCATGTTTTGTGGAGGACATTGGAAGACGGAAAAAGCACTATTGTGGTTTATACAGGATGATAAGAAAATTGGACAAAATCTCATTCCAGTGAAAGAAATCGAAAATGGTGACTAGAACCATGGTCAATTCGATTCAGTATATTTAGTAACGGCTTTCTCGATATCCATTATTTATATTATACTATTAACTCGAGATGTTTTCGAAAATTCGCCTCTAATTCAAAAACAGGATGAAATTTCTCAATTCAGACTTGTTTCCTGATATCGATGATTCTTATCAACTGATTTCCAATATTTATTTCGAACATTCTGGCTCCATCATGGACGCCAGAGACTTTTATATCTATGCACTGTGACTCTTTATTATAGGAGATGCCCATTGCATACAGAGTGGTTAATTTTCCTGTCAATCCTAATTCCTCCGCCACTCCACTCTCCAACAATGAAACGGTAGAGCCTTCATCCAATAGCGCATAAGTATTTAAACAACTGTTAGGGCCATAATTTTTTATTGGTAATATTCTCAGGAGAACTTTGCGATCAGCATTAGCAAGGCAGACTCTCTCTTTACTTTCCTCCTTTGAAATTTTCTCCTCCCCCGAACCAGTTTTGGTGACTTTATGTAGCAAAATGTAATGACACATCTTGCAACCATCATGACCACAACGTTATTTTGATTTACAATTGTTTTTATGATATCGTCGGCTTAATTCGCAAAGGTCGTAAGTCCAATTTAAATCGTATATGAGATATTGGTGCCATCTGACGCAGAAAAATTATAGCTAACTATTTACCAAACATTGTAACTCCAAAAAATTTATAAAACCTTGAAATACCGAAATAGATAAAGTCGTAAGTCCATACTTCGAATAGAGCATGTAGAAAAAGTCGTACGTCCACCATTATAATGCAACAGATGTGACTGTGTACTAGTCCCTTCAGTTTTTGGCAAGTTATTTGGTACTCAAATTATAGTTCAGTGATAAAGGGATTCCCGTGTACCCGGTAAGTATTGTTATTCGTAATTATCAATAAATAAACTACATTTAAGAAAGCAGGAAGCTTTTCTGATCGGTTCAAAATCATTACGGAGTAACGACATTTTCCAGTTTCATTGATCTAGGTTATTTGAATAATGAGATGGAGTTACGACATTTGCCATCCTTATGGAATGCCGTTTTGTCATGTTCGGATAATTCTGAATACATTGTAGATCATTGTTTTCACAATCTATTACTTATAGACTATGCGTCGAGTATCAAATATACCGCGGGAGAAAAATTCGGACTTTCCTTTCTCATTATGTACCTATTCATTGGAAAAATACCTGAAAATGAACGTGATAAAGAGTAACAATCTTTCTGTTGACTAAATTTGAATATAAAAATATAATATGTTATTAAAATATCAAATAATGATGAAAAAATTAGTTTCAAAATAATGTAGAAAGAAAAATTTATTGCTCAAGCCCAATAGAAATTAATATTATTATTGATTCTTGCAGTTATGGATCGGCCTAATTCAAGAACTATGAGAATTCTGCAAAATGCAAAGAACGCTAAACTTGTAGAAGATGTTGAAGCTGGTTTATCTTCAGAAAAAGAAAATATTCGTCCAATAAATTGTGAAATCGAGACAGAACTAAACTCATTTAGCATGGACGGAAATAATCATGATATTATCAGTAAAAATGATGCTCATGTCGGAGATAATGAAGAAAATAATATAATAACAGAAAATCCAAACAATCCAAACATTCTTGATATCTCTAGTTGTTATGGGCTACAAAATACTAATAATTTCTCAATGAATGAACCTGAAGATATCGGGGGAAGTCATCGATTATCAGAGAGTGATTCTTTATTAATTTTCGATATACCTGAAGTAACAGAAAATATATTCTCGAACAGCAATGAGGAATTCAATGTTGAAAGCTGCCTAAATCAACCCGATCATATGAATTTGGGAACACTTGACCAGCTTGACCTACAGTTCATTGGTGAAGATCGCGAGGTTTTTGTTTTACAGAACACGAATCTGAAAGAATTTCGAGATGAGGAAAAAGATACTAACTCAGATTCAATTGAAGAACGTGAAGAAGAAAATGAAGAAGAACATGAAGGTGACCATGAAGAAGAACATGAAAAAGAATATGAAGAAGAACATGAACAGGAACATGAAAAAGAACATGAAGGAGAACATGAGCTGAGAGATTTTTCAGAAACAGGAGAAAATGTTGACAAAGGGAAAAGGAGAAAGAGGTATCTTGTAGATGAGGCTAAATGGTCTAGCAGTATCAATAAAAAGAGGCGAGAGAAGGGTGAAAAATATTATGGTAAAAAGAAAGTCGATAATGAATGGAAATATAACGTTTTTCGTCAGAAGAAAGTTATCAAATGTAGATGCAAATGCAAATTGTCTTCGAAAAAATCAGTTCTGAAATGTGGATTGTTGACAGAAGATGAAAGAAATGAAATATTTAGTTCGTTTTGGTCAGAGTTAGACTGGAAGCAAAGGAAACTATACATTCAATTGTTGGTGAATGTGAAGACTACAAGGAGGCACAGGCACAGGTTAGTCGAGGCAGAATCCAGAAGGAAGTATTCCTGGAAATATCATTTGAAAAAATCTGATGAGAGGATACCAGTATGCAAAACAATGTTTCTGAATACCTTGGGTATAGGTGAAAGAATGGTAATGAACTGGAAACAAGCTGAGTTATCCGAAGGAAAGTCGTTGAAAAGTGAAATTGACAATGATAATTCGACTGTGAGAAATGATCTTAAAGAAAATCTAAGGCTGTTTTTCAGAGAAATTCCCAAGACTGAAAGTCATTATTGTAGAGCGAGCTCTTCAAAATTATATCTGGAACCAAATTGGACTTCCAAGTCGGCGCTGTACAACTTATATAAAAATACATGGTGTGTTGAACAGCACATGAAGCCACTATCCATTGCAGTCTTTTATCATATATTCGATGAAATGAATTTAAGCTTATTCAGACCCAAAAAAGACCAGTGTGATACGTGTTTCACGTATAAAGCAGGAAACTTATCAGAAGAAGCTTATGAATGTCATCAGCTGAAGAAGAGAGAAGCAAGAGAATCCAAAGCTGCAGATAAAGAATCCAATAACAAGGTTTACTGTATGGATCTCCAGTCTGTATTACTCTGTCCAAAATCCAACGTATCGTCACTATATTTCAAAACCAAACTTATAGTCCACAATTTCACAATCTATAACATGAAGACCAAAGAAGCCTATTGCTATTTATGGCATGAATCAGCTGGTGGCGTATCATCAAATGACTATTGTTCGATTATTTGTTATTTTCTGAAACAATTCGTAATTGGAACATTGAGTCCCGATCAGAATATCATTATATACAGTGATGGTTGTACGTCACAAAATAGAAACGCAAATCTATCCAATGCTCTACTGAATATGGCCTCATACTACAAAGTAACGATTGAGCAGAAATATTTGGAAAAGGGCCACACCCAAATGGAGGCAGACTCCATACATTCCACCATTGAACAGAGACTCCGAAGAACTGATATTAATGTCCCAGCAGACTACGTCGGTGTCTGTTTAGCAGCAAGAAGAAATCCATCACCCTACTTAGTGAAATATTTAGACTATACATTTTTCAAAAACTTTGGTGAGCTAAAATTTTTGTCGTCATTACGCCCAGGAAAGCGGACTGGAGATCCAGTCGTTACCGATATTAGGGCATTGCAGTATTCCCCAAATGGTTCAATTCTTTATAAATTGAGACATACTGATACATACACCCCCTTACTTTTTCGAAATCCAAACAAGATCCAACCCTGTTCACTGGAATCTCTTCCCCAATTATATGGACGGCCAATACCAATAAAGAAGGATAAATGGGATAATTTACAATCTTTGAAAAAAAGTTTGAAAAAGGATTATCATTCTTTTTATGACAATTTACCATATTTTTAACTCTCAGCAAAATGCTTTCTGAAATTTTTTCATCACTTTCTACGCTATGTTTTTCTCGGGATCTGTACGATTTAGTTCTATGTTGATTGAAGATTGACAAACTTCAAGTCATGTTCATTTTCTGGATATTTTTTTGTTGATTTTTCATTCTTACGTTACATTTCAATCGAATAAAACTTTGAAAATCATTGTAGTTTTCTTTAATCGCAAAAATTGTAAGTCCATCAAATTTTGGGGAAAAAATGGGAAAAGCTCGTAAGTCCTTCAAAAAAAGTATGAGTGATTTTTTTCTCATTTTTCATATATCGGAACGAATATCGAATATTTAAAAATGAATTGAAGTATTTTGCATGGTTAATTCATATTTGATTATGATTTCAAACGTTTTTTGTCTCTCCTGTAAAATTTGGTATTTTGGACTTACGACCTTTGCAAATTAAGCCGACGATATCCAGATCTGAGACAACAGAAACAGATTTCTAATTCCGCAACTCTTTCGACCTTCCGCCAAGATTATCACTTTTCATCATAGAACAATCTGAAATATTGTGGCCAAGTTGATCGCAATACAAACATTCAACTTCATTTATCTGGCTATTGACAATGAGATCCATGGTGATACTTCTTTTGAGAATTAAAAGAGGAGTCATTAAATAATGTTTTGGGACTTACGTAACATACAGCTGATGAAACTTTATTTGTCCAAGTTTCAAATTCTTTGAGTGTCACCTTACTTCTACTCTGTGCAATGATTTGTCCCCATTGTAACTTTAGACTGTTTGGTATCTTAGCTGCCAACTGCTCCAACAGAAAAGGATTGCCCAGATGATTGTCTGCCTCGAATTTTTTCAATGCCGCAACCAAGTCATTGACGTGACATGAAAATTCAATGGATGAATTGAAATCACCATCTCTAATGACAGGTAAAACCTGTACTTCATTCATCAATGAACCTATGACATATTCAGGGCGACCAAATGGCATCTCCAGAGTTCCGATTACTTAAGCATTATTTTCAGGGTGGAGTAATAAACTCTATACCGATTCCATAGCTCCTCCTTTCAGGCATTTCTGCAATTGCATTGTCAACTCGTCTTCTGAATATTATTTATACATCGACATATTTCGATCAATTTGAAATAGAGGCCAATTTTATGATCTGCCATCAAAGTGAGGAAAGTTTTGTCTACTCATTGTTGACTCACACCATCAGAGAACTCATTATGTTTAGATGATACAGTTTTCATTGCACCAGCAATAACATTACATAGTTCTGACAATTTGTCATTTTCTTTTGATAAATTGTCATTTCCTTGTGACATTGAAGACTTCACTTCTTGATAAGATTCACAGGGCGAATTAGCATTAGAATAAACTGTGTACTTATCAATCCAATCCTGTACATCAACTTTCATCCTTGTTTCACCTATATCTTCAACTACTGATTCTCTTGAGCTAGTTTCCTCTTCTTCATCAATCTCATTCTCTGAGAGTTTCAGACAAAGCTAGGCTCTGTCTGAAACTCCAGAATCCTCATCTGATTTTTTAATACTTGATGTTTCATCCTCAACTCTGTCCTTGCGACCTCAGCCTCCAACGCCAAACGTGTCTTTCCGAAAACAACTCTCTTTGATGAGGTCTTGGATCTCTGCGACTTCGTCTGAGAACATCTATCTGCTGACATCTTTGGTGTGTACCCTATCATTGGCCGTGCTCCGACTCCATTTGCAGATACATCAGATACCTCAGCTTACTCCAGGTGAGGCTAATGGGTCTATAAGCCATGGCATCGTAATAGTCTGTTTTTCCTGATTTCGAGATAAAGAAGATCCTAACTGATCTTCATTCCATCGATATGTGGCTCAGAGCTTGAGAGGAGTGAGATATACAGTATGATGCAAATGTATGGAATAAATACATTTTAAACTTCCGGAAAAAATCCGAAAACTAGAGTTCAGAACTTTTTTTATTGTGTATTTTTTCAACTAGACGACCCTTTGATGTTCAATCCTCAGTAGCAGACCTCTGCAAGATTCAGTTAACCAAATGATAATCCATTTTAATTGCAATTAATATTCTTATGCAAAATTTTGACTGTTGGATAGACGATCATCAGTAGACCTTTCAAACGAGGTGTCACATGACCCCTGCTTGTATTTGAAAAAATCGTCCATTACGTCATTACTTCTACACCAGTGACGTAACATCTCTTATATGAATGTCATGAGATGAGGCTTCAAAAATTAAAACTCACGTGTTTTTGGAATTTCTTCAAATGTCGCCCATTTCTGAAATAATGAATTTATTCCATACATTTGCATCATACTGTATACAAAAACAGGGTGATGATAGTATCCACTATCCAGTCCCTCTTGTGGGAGGGCCGGTAATATTTCATCTTTCCTTGGTGATTCGAATAGTGCGACTGTCTTTACTGCCCATCTCACCTTCCTGTGTTCATTTTTTCGCAGTAGGCACGTCAACTGTCTCTTTGTGATCGTCGAATGGCTTTCTTGTGCGCTCTTTTGGCAGACTCATATTCTTTCCTGTGTTGCGGTACGTTGGTGCGTCCCGCTTTGTTCAGAAGCTTCTTTGTGAGCCTACGATGGTATTTAATTCATGAATTTCACCATGACGTTCTGGCGTTGGTAGCCCTGTCTTGACGTGGACAACTGTTTTAGTATGAGGAGGTGATGACCTTGTTGAGATACGACATTGATGTATCTATTTCCGCCTTACTCGCATACTTTGATGGCAAACTCAGAAGTCTTTCTTCGAGTTCCTCCCGAGAGAGGTCCCACTTGGGGGACACGAGGGTTCTTGTATGTTACCTTACCTGGATCGCTTATCCCTTTCAGCGTGCACAATATGTGTCGATGACCTGATAGAGATTCACCTTCCATGAATAGACCTGGATCAGCATATCTTGAGTGCATAGAGTAGGATCTATAACGGATTACCACCTAGGCGTAAAAAAGGTAGGTACTGAGCCCTAATTCATGATTTTCAGGTAACTGGTGCTGAGGAATTTCAGTGAAGCATCTTCCTTAGGGTTTGTATCCCAACTGCCTCACAGAATATGGTGGGCATTTGAGTCACAGCCGATGAGAAGGCCGATATGCTTTTGACTGAGCTCAATTGTAGTTTCTAGGATGTCCAATTCCGAGGCTGGTATATGTAGAGTTTGTGTTTTCTATCGTGGTTTCTTTTGTGTATAGTTGAGGAGAGAAATGGCATTTTGGGTTGATATTGTATTGTTTGTAGTTTCTTGAGTGGAGATTATTTTCACCATATTGACTTCTAGGTGGATAATTGCGATTTTTTTGTGACGGCATTCTTGTACTAGAGGACTGAGGCCTCTGACACTGTTCTCGTGTATGCTCATTGAATGTTTTTTATGTGTTGAGTGTTTGCACGAAAAAACTGAGTTGGTCTGCGCTCCATTTCTGCCTCAGAGTTTTAAATGTTTGTCTCCATACATTCTTCATCATTAATGGTTTGCTGGATGGTTGATGATGTCCTCGGTTTACTGTAACTTGAATGGGAACTATCCCTGATGAAGTTATCTTTGTTTGTACACCTGGGTCTCTCGACGCCAGAACCCCTCTGATCTTGACAAAATCGTTCTGCATCATGTAAGTTAACCTCGACCTCTACTTCAGCAATCTCGCAGTTTATCGACAGAGCATCCTACTGCCAGTTCAAACTGGACTCTAGAGTTCAAGCCTCGGCGATCCGGTTATCGTCACCTATCTGCCTCATCAGCCTGAGTACCTGACTGCAAGGCGAACCAACCTCAGTTAATGCTTGTCGATGATGGCCTCGTATCGAAGATTCTTCTGACCCTAAAAACCCGTCCCATACGAGTGCTACACATCAGGCTAACTTCTTGAGCAAGCCGCTGATGGCTTTTTCACATCCAACCAAGGCCTCCTCAATCCGAGTATTCTACCAATCTCTCTAAGAGTGTCCCCAGCTCGGTGCTCAAGTGCCGTGCTGACTTGTCATGATATGGTCGAAGGTGATCACGGTCAGTCATCAGGGTCAAGAGTGTCGAGATTGAAAACTAGCTAAGTTCGAGAAGTGTTGCTGGGGTGAGTACGCAAGGATTGTTTCGTTGATGCTAGAATCGGGAGGCTCTTCAGGCACACTAGGCAGGGTGACGCATTGCTTGTAATTCCTTGGAGTGAGCCGCAACTCTCCAACCCGAGTTCGTTGAAGTGGTCTGACTCTTTCAGGTAGCCAAAAAGTCTCTAACCAGATGGCGTTCTATGGCAGTCTCTCTCAATGCAAGGGAATCGTTGTTGCAATTCTCGTGGGTCGATGGGTTGTATATCTGGTATGAGCAACGGAGGCAATTCTTCTCCTTCTTACATTGCTTTGATAGTCGGCGTATCCAGCAGGAAAGGTCACGATAATGTCTCTGCAGCTGACGATGATGCTGATGCGAGCAAAGAAGATAGTAATGGGATATTCGCAGTCAAAGTCGTTGGTGATAGTTCATTGTTTCAGTCCGATCGTTCTTCAAGCTCTGGATCCTTTTTTTGTATCAGAGAGAATATCTGAACTCTATAATACTCTTGTACAAACTAATGACCAATAACATGAATACCCCGAATATTCTCAACATAATTCCATTCAACTTTTCTCCGCGTCATGAACGCTCTACTTCTATGTTCAATATTTCAGCAGTAGACACCTTAGTATGAACACCTTTGATACCTAAACTCAGATGGGCCTATGCTTTCAATCAACTGATCAATTCAGATTAGACCTAACCCCCAGTGTCTTATCGTCAATGCATCGAGACCAATTCTGCATGTTCCTATAGAATAGTAAGTTTCTCCCCTACAATGGGGTTGTACACTCCAATCGAATTCACGCCAAATACCTATTTTATATTGATCAGTCCGTGTGTCAATAGTATTATTTGATGCCATCAGTCGTTATTTAAAATCATCCAGAATACGTTTTTTCATTAATTGAAAATCAGAACCTTC